ACTTCTATGTACAGTCAAGTCCATAAATATTGGGACATTGACACAATTCTAACATTTTTGGCTCTATACACCACCACAATGGATTTGAAATGAAACGAACAAGATGTGCTTTAACTGCAGACTGTCAGCTTTAATTTGAGGGTATTTACATCCAAATCAGGTGAACGGTGTAGGAGTTACAACAGTTTGCATATGTGCCTCCCACTTGTTAAGAGACCAAAAGTAATGGGACAGAATAATAATCATAAATCAAACTTTCACTTTTTAATACTTGTTTGCAAATCCTTTGCAGTCAATTACAGCCTGAAGTCTGGAACGCATAGACATCACCAGACGCTGGGTTTCATCCCTGGTGATGCTCTGCCAGGCCTCTACTGCAACTGTCTTCAGTTCCTGCTTGTTCTTGGGGCATTTTCCCTTCAGTTTTGTCTTCAGCAAGTGAAATGCATGCTCAATCGGATTCAGGTCAGGTGATTGATTTGGCCATTGCATAACATTCCACTTCTTTCCCTTAAAAAACTCTTTGGTTGCTTTTGCAGTATGCTTTGGGTCATTGTCCATCTGCACTGTGAAGTGGCGTCCAATGAGTTCTGAAGCATTTGGCTGAATATGAGCAGATAATATTGCCCGAAACACTTCAGAATTCATCCTGCTGCTTTTGTCAGCAGTCACATCATCAATAAATACAAGAGAACCAGTTCCATTGGCAGCCATACATGCCCACGCCATGACACTACCACCACCATGCTTCACTGATGAGGTGGTATGCTTAGGATCATGAGCAGTTCCTTTCCTTCTCCATACTCTTCTCTTCCCATCACTCTGGTACAAGTTTATCTTGGTCTCATCTGTCCATAGGATGTTGTCCAGAACTGTGAAGGCTTTTTTAGATGTCGTTCGGCAAACTCTAATCTGGCCTTCCTGTTTTTGAGGCTCACTACTGGTTTACATCTTGTGGTGAACCCTCTGTATTCACTCTGGTGAAGTCTTCTCTTGATTGTTGACTTTGACACACATACACCTACCTCCTGGAGAGTGTTCTTGATCTGGCCAACTGTTGTGAAGGGTGTTTTCTTCACCAGGGAAAGAATTCTTCGGTCATCCACCACAGTTGTTTTCTGTGGTCTTCCGGGTCTTTTGGTGTTGCTGAGCTCACCAGTGCGTTCCTTCTTTTTAAGAATGTTCCAAACTGTTGTTTTGGCCACGCCAAATGTTTTTGCTATCTCTCTGATGGGTTTGTTTTGTTTTTTCAGCCTAATGATGGCTTGCTTCACTGATAGTGACAGCTCTTTGGATCTCATCTTGAGAGTTGACAGCAACAGATTCCAAATGCAAATAGCACACGTGAAATGAACTCTGGACCTTTTTATCTGCTCATTGTAATTGGGATAATGAGGGAATAACACATACCTGGCCATGGAACAGCTGAGAAGCCAATTGTCCCATTACTTTTGGTCCCTTACCAAGTGGAACGCACATATGCAAACTGTTGTAATTTCTACACCGTTCACCTGATTTGGATGTAAATGCCCTCAAATTAAAGCCGACAGTCTGCAGTTAAAGCACATCTTGTTTGTTTCATTTCAGATCCATTGTGGTGGTGTATAGAGCCAAAACTGTTAGAATTGTGTCGATGTCCCAATATTTATGGACCTGACTGTATGTGGATAGAAATCAAAGCCATCTTGGAAATTTGTGTGATGACCCATAGTATAGCGTCAACACAGTGAAGTAGAAAAAGTAACCTCTGAAGGTGCTCTGATAAAGTAGGATCCTGTAAAACAGGACTGCGTTTCTTGCACATGTTTAGGTCAAGGTGGCTGTGGACTGACAGATAAACGGCAGAGCTGGACCTGCGAGCCTAAATAGAGCTATCAAGAGTGTTCCAAATTTTCTATGTGCAGGATCCTTAAAAGATAAAGATACCTTTTGGTGAAATTGTAAGATGTTTATTAAAATATAGGAAGAATGGATCCTCTATTGGTACTGTACATCTCACAGCAAACTCCCTTTCTATAGGATAGAGTTTTGTGATAATTTTTGGAGGAGAGAAAATCTTTAAATTCATAGATTGCTTTAAGTGGTAAGGTTTTAGTGCCAAATGTGAAAAGTTTTCACAGATGTGAAATACATTCCAAACGTGTCGATTATGACAGTAACAGTCAGAATTCAGGGCAAACCTGTCTTACCTGTCTACGACGCTGGTCCTTGGAAAGGGTCCAGGTTTCGCCTGTCAAAGTGGGCATACCTCTAAAAGGGTCTTCAGTGACTGAGTTCCATTGCAGTGGACTTGGAACTGGATTTGTATAGCACACTGCAGATGACTACAACATGCTGCACTAAGTGCAAAGCTGAGTGCGCATGCAGGATTCAGTGCCTGAAGCAACATTACAGACAGTCCTCACAGCATAGAATCTGGGCACAGTTGCACCAATCCAGAGGCACCTTTTCTAATCTAGTAGCAAGTAAACAGATTCTTGCGCTCGGAAGTTGGCCCTAGACATAGCAGTTGCTTATACTTCCCTCCTGGCTTTACTGGACATGCCTCACCTTGCTGCCCTCTCAAGACTGGGGATGTCTGGATACACTGAAACCATAAAATAAAACAGGGGGCCAATCAGCCTAGTGCATTATCCTCAATTCTTGACTGTGATGTGATGTATCATGGACTGGAAGTTGCTGTTTTACTATGACAAACTTTAATTCACCTGTCAGTTTGTGAGAATAATACTTACTACAGTTTTACTAATAAAAGTCAAGTTTGGAGGATAATGCACTAGGCTGGTGCGCCCTCTGTTTTGTTTTAAGGATTCAGTGCACCTCTTCTAATGTAATAAACAGAAAACTGTGAGAAGTTGATTGAAGAATTGATTGAAGATTTCGAAGTGAAAATGATAAAATAATAAAGTTATGACTGTTTCTCCACAAGGGAGAAGAGGTCCATCATCTTTGGACACTATAAAAAAAACCCTCAAGACTCAGGGAGTGAGGGAGAGTTACGGTACAAGGCTACAACCCATGGTCTATAAATACTATGCCTGTACAGTACAATTAAGATATATATTGCCCACTCACAAAGAAATGATCAGTCTAAAAATCGAATGGTAGGTGTATTGTAACACTGAGAGACAGAATAGCAACAAAAATTCCAAAGAAATGCATGTCTAACAAATTATCCACGGATTTGCATATATATATTTTTTTTAATCGCACCAATACTATATACCATTTTATATACTGTAAACTAGTGGTGTCCAACCTGCGGACCACGATGGATTTGAATGTGGCCCAATACAAAATCGTAAACGTACTTAAAAATGTTTTTTAAATTTTTTTGCAAAAATGTGTTTACACTGAACGAACACATGCAGGCGAAAAACAATTTGACAGTGTCTCTTTACTGAAATTTTAGAAGTTTTATCCTCCCAGAGAAAAATATCCCACTCTTCACAATCACGCCTTATTCATGTCATGAGTTTTCGGGAAGCGCCTATATTTATGAGCAACTATTTTCAAGGATGAAGCACACAAAAATGGCAAAATTAGAACCAAAATATCTGATCAGCACCTTGGGAACTTGTGATATGCCCAAATCTTTCTGCTCATCAGCTATCCTTATTGTTATTGTGCTTTATGTGTGGCCCAAGACAATTCCTCTTCTTCCAATGTGGCCCAGGGAAGGTAAAAATTTGGACACCCCTGTTGCAAACAATTCATTAAAAAAATAATTTTAGCATTGCATTCTTTAGGTTTTGATTAAATTGAGTAATGTCCGTTTTATCTAGTTATATCCATCTGCGATGCAACATAGGTCTATGTTTAATTTTTAAATGTACCAGAGTGAGTAACCTATTTGGCCAGTACCACAACAATGGTTAGTGAAGAGCTTAGGTATTTTATATGTATATACAGATACATTCCACAGTAACACTTTATTATACTACTGATGGTAGAGTGGAATGATGGACAGCCATTACCCTTCAAATTTATGGAGGTACCCCCAAGGATTCATTAACCTATTGTTAAGAAGCAATGATATCTGGCATTGTTTTGCTGTTATGTGTGGTCTACTAGAACTGCTGAAGTGTGGTGTATGACAATTAACTATGTCTACGGAATACCCAGCTTTCAACCTTGCATCTCACATGAGTGGTTGGACCTGTATGTAGCCCCATATGTTATGCCCACCTAAATGAAGAATAATGTATTGACATATTGGGTAGAGCTACATGACAATTTATAAACGTCCATGCAATCCTAGCAGCTGGGTTGAGAAGAGAGAGGATACAGTATATACACTGCACTGGCATCTGTGGTCCTGCTCATTTATTGTAAAACAACTTTTTAGGTAAGTGTTTTCCTGATCCTGTTAGCCGGTGCCACTTTTAGGCCTCTTGCACACGGTACTGATGATGTTTGAGCATCTGCTTTTTTAACATAATTCCAGGCACTTGTTTTGCACGTATTTATGCGCATATTTGTGAGCATATGCAAGTTCATGCATTTGCATGTACAATATATTCTTAGGGAAAATGAATTCATATATTTATGCTCATATGCACGTATTCACATGCAGACAGTGTAAATTACTGACCAAAAATGCAGATTTTCCTATTTTTCCTTTTTGCTGAGGAATATGCAGCGCTTATTTACACGCCTGTATGGAAAGGCACATTGTAAAAATTGGGCTACATTTTACCACAGTAAAAAAAATGCTGTACTGAGCTTTTTCAAGTTGCAGTGTGCAAGAGGCCTTAAAAACTCCACACAGACGTCTAGGAGAAAATCTGCAAAATGATAGAACATGCAGGCACAGATCACAAGTTCTAAGGTGACTGGGATTAGGCTTTTCAAGTGACAGTTGATTAAGGATCCAATGAATAATTTAGAAATATTACCTTGTTCCACAAATTTCCATTTCTTTTACCTATGTGCCTGAAACTTTCAAAGAAACTTGTAATACAAGTACAAAACATATACACATGCAGCCATATGCTTACCTTGTTCTGTGCATGTTTGCCACCAAGTATTTCACCTTGTTCACTGGAGTCAAAGATTTTAAAGGTTTCTGAAAGGCAGGGATCTTTGTTTTCCCCCTGAGCAGATTTTTCCTTTACACTGGTTAACATCATTTCAAGAACCGAAGGAGAACCTTCTTCACTAACATGTAATTTAGTGCCCTCATGGACATCAAATTCTCCAATCTTGAGATCTAAATGGGATGTAGACCCAAAAAAAAAAACATGGTTTAATATTAATAATATTTTATGTGACCAATGCTGTGAAATGGAACTCAGGGAAATCACAGTTAGTGATAATAGCATGGACTGTTTTCCTGAAGATTCACATTTGCTTAAAGGGTAACTCCACTTTCATTGGAAAAAAATACTGCTTAGAAAATAATAATATTGCATACACAATTGCAGCACAAGCCACAATGTAATATCATGTTATTACAAATTACCTTTCCTGTTCAATCTGCAGTGCTGTAATTTTCTGTAAAATGTAATGTAATATGGCAGTCTGGATGCATTGTATACATAGATGTATGGAATGTCAGAAATGTCATTTTCTGCTTGTGTGGTTGGCTCACTGATTTTCCCAGAGGTCTACACTAAGATACAAATCAGATCACCTGAATAAAGTTATCACTCATTTAGTGGGTAGTGATCAAGGGGAATTTATCCTGGGAAGGTCCACCATAATGAACATACGTAGACTTTTCCATAACCTCCAATGTTCCCATGCCAATTTCCATACACGAGTGATTGTCTCCCTAGACACCTATAAAGCCTTTGACAGCATAGAATGGCTGTACCTGTTTCGCTTATTGCAGCTTTATGGTTTTGGCCCTTGATTCATTGCATGGATCAGGCTTTTATACATGGACTCGTTGCCAAGGTTCGAGTGAATGCACACATTTCTAGTCCTTTTTCCATTTAGCGTGGTACATGACAAGGGTGACCCTTACAATGCTGTTATTTGTCCTTGCAAAAGAGCTCCTAGCTATCCTCATCCATGACTCATCCAATATCAGGGGCATGACTATTAGCACTTTGGAAGAACATCTCACTATACACAGATGACACCCTGATTTATTTTGCTGACCCTAATGATTCCTTACGTTGCCTTCTGAAATTGATAGAAGAGTTCAGTGATTACTCTGGATTCCGGACTAATTGGGAGAAATCTAATCTTTTCCCCATCCATCAGGCAGCAGTCCTGAAAATCCCCTCATATTCACAACTCCAAGTGGTATGTTCCATTAGATATTTGGGAATTGGGGTACAGCTGCTTCTACAAACTTATATATAATGTAATGTATATAACTTGTCCCCTGTTCCAGATATGTAGCAATAGGCTTCAAAAGGTGTCAAGTACTTGTGTCATATTAACAAACCTCAGGGGTCTAAATCCTTCATTCAGTTACAAGGGGACTTTAACCTCCTGTCCAATTATCTGTTCTATTATTACCAACTTTGTCATGCCTTACAGGCTTAATTCGGAACATGGGACAACCTGACCCAAATCACTCCCGTTGAGAAATTACTGAGGAGGCCAAGTGCTACCAAATTAAATTTCTAGGTATCATTCTCCACTTATGGCAGACTCGAATTCCAAATAAGTTTTCACTCAGCATAAATGGTCTATGCCTGGCCCTCAGCTTACAGACTGACTTGTCAGAATTGCTGCTGCCAGGGACCCAAAGAGTGACGAAGAAATGGTGAGGACAACGCTGGATCTCTGAACAAGTCAGTGTCCAGTATTTGTACCTGCTGAATTTGAATTCTAGGTTTTGCTTTCTATGGTGAAGATCCGCTTTACCACCATGTTACACCCATAATTAGAGTGTAACATGGTACCAAGCGGACCCACCCCACCCCTAAAAGGCCCCGTCTCTGAAAGCATGTGAGGGTTCTTCTCCCCCGAAACAGTTTTGAAATCGACAGATGTGTGGGGCTCCACCAGCACAGCTGTGTTATTCAATCACAGGGATTTGTTAAAGAATGAATGAACTACAAATCTGATCTGACACCTTGCCAGAGAGCATTGTAGTTCTCAATGGAATACAAGTGCAGAGATAAGCTCATTCGTAGTCCAATGACATTTCCTCCAGCTTTCTAACTGAAAACCCAAACCTTGGTATGAACAGAGAGCTGGAGGAAGAGTCTTCAGCACCATGGAATTGCCTCCATGATCCACTGATCACAGCTGCAATGCCTTCAGGCTCATTTGCAAAAAAAAACAAAAAAAGCATAATTTTTCTCAAAAAAAATGTGCATTTTTAATTAATTAATTTATTTTTTCAAGAGGTGTACTTATACTTGTACTAAAGCATGAAATCTTTTGTTTTACCCTTGGTCCTTTTAATAGCTTACAAAATTCCAGTATAAAGCTACCCAAAGACATTAGTAAATAAATAATTCAAAGGATCTTTCTTCCATTTGTTAGGCAAAAAGTCAAGCATTATTGTATCTTACAATGTATCAGAAATCCTCGGAGCCAGCACTTACCCATGGAAAACGCTAGACTATCAATCAAAACATTCCTGCCTTGATGTCAGCCTTTTCCAAGTATGCACTCTCAGCAGGTGTACTGTATATATACTTTAAACAGCTTATCCAAAATTTAGGAACATTTCCTGTACCATGTTTCCTCAGTAAAATGAAAGTTAGCAGAAAACGCACAATGCATCTTCATAGTGCTTTTTGTGCGCTCCCAACAAATATTACAGAGGTAACTTGTAAAAATAATGCTGATCGACTACCAACCGCAGACACTCTTTTAGCACCAATTTTCCTCTCAGGAATGTATTCTTGCTCGTGTGTAACCTGAATTAAATAATGGTACAATTGCAGAACAATTGGAACAAAATGAAAGGAGTGGAATAACGGTATGTATAGTGGAGAATAGATTGGATGGCTTTATCCACCCAGGTCTGGTGCTAGACTATTTTGCGCCCTAGGCAAGACCAGCTGCTTGCGCCCCCCCCAAAAAAAAAATAAAACAAAATATGAAACTGCTAAATTTCTTTCAATTTGCAAAAATAAATGAAATAAGATGCCACCAGCACCAATATTAACGACATATATATATATATATAACCAAAAATAAATTAACTATATTAATCAGACAGAAAAAAAAAAAAAAAGACAGTTACAAAACACCACAGTGGTCAGCAGCCGCCAGCCAGCTTGCAGTATGGGACTGAGTCTGCGAGGAATACTGGAAGGAGCGGCAGCTCAGCTGCTACACTGGCCCCAGAAACCCGGCATCTTTCTCTGTTCTTTCTTCCTCCCCCTCTGCCGCCCCTCCAGTCAGCTGAAGGATCATTCATAACGTGGCGGCATCCCTCATGATCAATCAACATCCACTCCCCTCACCATTGTCTACACCCCCTCCTCCTGTCACCCCCTCCTCCTAGGTTCAGCTTACCACTGATTGCTCGTGCTGGGGTGCAGATTCCAGGCTGCGGTTCTCAGTGAGGACAGGTGGCCTCTCAGCACTACACCACTTGATTGGCTCCAGCTGTGTAGAAGAAAGCGGAGCCAGCCCTGGACACGCACCCATTAGGTCACTAGTCAGCTCTCTGTTACAGCTGGAGGATCATGTCCAGGAGTGTGTACCAGTGTGTGTATCGGAGATGTACAAACTGATCAGAGACAGCTGACCGCCTGGGGTCCTGGGCTAATGTCATCACCTCCCATCGTACCCATCCAGGGGGAGCCCGCACTTCACTGCTACATGGAAGACTGATATATATATATACACACACATACTAATTGGTCTTGTGTGTGGACAGGCTGTGAGACAATTGTGCAGAGTAAAGATACAATCATTCCCCCATCATTCCTTTGTATGAGGAGAGGGGGACTCTGCAGAGATACGAAGAATTCATACAAGAGGTCCATAGGCCAGAGAGAGAGAGAGTGCCAGCCTGTGCATGTGCCCAGGTGCCCCTAGGTGACAGTGCGCCCTAGGCGGCTACTTAGTTTGCCTAGTGGGCAGCACCACCCTGTAACCACTTATAAAGAAGAATAATACAGTCTTTGTATAAACTGCATTTATTGGTTACTGATAGTCTTCTCCCAACTAATAAGCTATGCATAAGAACTACTTCGGAATGTAAAACTCTAAAAAAAAAAAAAAAAAGGGTAGGGTGAATTGGGAGACTGTGTTCTTTATATAAGCTGTTGTTTGAGGTAGACGCTGATGGCGCTAACTATGTCCACACAATTAATGTTCTTTGGGTGCTTTTAGGTAGGGCACAAAGATGAAAGGACTATCTCTTCATTGCTGTGGAAGACTGATACCATTCTATGAAGAAAAGATGGTCTTGGAGCTAACATCTCCTCGTCTTTGTGAAGAATGAGGAACAGCTTCTCTTAAAGTAGAGCTCCAGTCCCCAGAATATATATTTTTTTTTTTAAAGCAGACCCAGGATTTCCTTTTCACTAGCATTATCAATTGGATAAAGTTATTAGTAATAGCCTTGTAATTACTTTCAAATAAGTTAAACTTTACCATGTATCTTGGAAGCAGGCAGGTGCCATGATGGCTGTGGGCATCTGAAGCCCGCAGGTCTTTAATTCCTGGAATTGGTGCTGCTGGCTATCCCAGCATGCACCACTCGATCTCGCGCATGCCCAGTATTGACACTGCTCAGCGAGACTTGTATACTACAGGTTGCCATAACAAGGGCGGGGACGGCGGAAGCCCCTTATGGCAACCTGTACATCAATTCACTTAATTCACACATTGTACATGTCTTCCACACACAGGACTCCGGTAAAATGGTGCCAAACTCCTACCATTCGCGTTATTTCCGGTGTCAAAGTACCGCAACATTAAGTCACTAGGAACCCAAAGAACTCCAGGGATACAGGACACAACAACCCAGGAGACCTTGCGATTCACCTTATGTCATCGCCTAGGCGACCGGGACCGGAACTGCAGTCTTGGAAATGGATTAAAGGCATTTATAATATGAAATAAAAAACAATTATCAAAATTGTGCTTTACAACACAGGTAAAATGTACAAAGATGCACTTTAAAAAATGGGAGGAACTCAGCTTTAAAAGGGAGAGCTGCAAGCTTAGATACAAGTCTGACAGACATAATACCATTCAGGAAGGCCAGAGGTTTTTGCAAGAGAATGAACAAGGCCAAACCCTGTCCTTTCGTGTGATTATAGCCAAGTTCTGGTCAAG